AAGATGTCACTCTTGTCTGCCTGACCAAGCCACGTTCATTGCGACAGAAAAGTCAAGGTGTCGGTAATTTAACCCTTTTGACCCTCCAAGAGGACGAGGTTAAAACATGCTGATTCTGTTTAACTGTTAGTAAAGAAAATTTGACCTGCCAGGGTTTGTGCTAGTGGTTAGCAAATTCCTGGATCCACATGCTGCATGCCGCTCATCTGGATGTATGGCTACATTAGGATCTCTACGGTTAATAATGTTCTATCTCATGTGCTTGAGAGTTAGGTCCGTGTCCAAGAAACCTAGATATTTTGGCTGAAGAAAGCGTTTTAGCTGCCCCCGGTTTTTTATAAATTGTTATTCACATCCTTCTTATGCGCAGGTACATTTTTCTGTACCGAACTGAATAAAAACCTACGGTACGGAGTGTTAGTGTGTTAAAAGTCCAATGTCAGAAAAGCCGTAGTGGGCCCGCGACCAATATCGCCCACTGTCCAGTGGCCCCCACTGCCCTCTCGATGTACGTTTTTCCGTGATTTCGAGGCCAAGCACTGAGATGCGTTTGGCGCAGTATCTCTAGCACCCGTTGTGGGCATGTGGTCGGTATAGTATCGTGTTAAAGTTTTTGCCCCCTGCGTTAAACTTCGTTAAGCAGTGGCAAGCTCTCCTAAATTTTTCAACGCTGTCAATGGCTTGCGAAATAAAGTAAATAATGAAGCTGCTTATACGCGATAAAAAATTCTGTCTTGCAAATAGTTGTGTGCTACTACGTACGATGGGAGCTTCTCCACCTTTAATCTTAAGACGCTTAAGCGTACGCGCCATCTCGTGGCAACTTATAAACGATCCCAACCAACATTCCTTTGAGAAGGTTCCTGATACCATCCCTGTGCTTTCACTGTTTCGGCGTGTATGATGAGTATGTGAACACATTTGGGACTAACAGGGTTTACTAGAATCCCACCACTCCACCACAGAGTCACCGCAGTAGACGTGAGATGAGCGCTGTCGCTCCGCGGCACTTGTTTTACATTAAAAGTAAGAACTAACGGGACTAAAATCCTTACCTGATAAGATTGTTTCTCAACTAGCTAAAAATCCAAAAAACCTGGACGATTTTATATTAGTGTTGAACTGTTCATAACATTAATTGCTTGCTATGGGCTACGTACATGAGTCACGAGTATGTTCACATCGAACAATATAGTAAAATAAGAAGTATAATGCAGCAATTTAAGCATAAAAAGTGAACAGAATCACTTATATTTTGTGAAAAAGTGTTGTTGTTTTTTACTATTGGATACTGGAACGTACCCTGGTACTATCTAAAGCCCGACACACATTGCCGAACATTTTACTCAAAAACATAATCGTAGCAATGTTCCATGAAATGTTCGGCAATGTGCGGTGAAAAAAGTCGCAGAACATTTGTTCCGAACAATGTTTCTGAAGATCGGAAATGTTTGATATCTCGAACATTGTTCGTCGAATGTTCGTCAATGTGCGCTGAATGTCGAACAATTCTAGGAACATTTGTAAAGTAGTAACCAATAGCAGCACGATATGTGGTCACATGATTTTTGTGTACAATATAGCGTCTGCTATATCGCTGACAGAAGTGTGGACTTTTGAAAAGGAAGAGATTATGGTCGAAATGTGGGGGCAGCAGCCCTGTCTAAAATTAGTAAAGTTTTCAAAATTCTCTTGTGCAAACTCGGCATCGCCATTCATGCCGGTCACGTGACTCTTTACAACACAGCTACTAGACGGCGCCACGAGGTTGTTCTCACTGCAAAATGTTTGACAATGTGCGCTCAGCAATTGTTCACCCGCACATTGCCATACAAAAACATTTTTCCCGGAAAATGTTCGGCAATGTGCGCCAGGCTTTACTGTACTAGGTAGAAGTAGTAGAGCACAGGCACTTGGAGCGTTTCAATAAAATATAATGATAAATAAATACGAAATCTATTTACTACCAAAGTCTTAATGAATTTTGTTTCTATACTCTCTTTCACCTATTATTGCCGACAATTTCCTGCAAATGCCGTCCAAATGCTCACATGTAGACTGTAACAAACGCTGGCTGCCGCTGCACACTGACACATAAATATATAGCAGGTAGGAAAGCGTGCTGCCAAAATTCGCTCGACGCTCACTTGATTTCACACGAATACAACACAAATATTCCACCATTCTACTCCATCTTTGTTTCTATTTGAAGAACAGTGTTCACTTGTTATAAAAACATACTGTCTGTGTTCGTAACCGAGCTGTGTCACGCGAAATCACACAAAGCCTGACGAAATTCTCGCGTTTGCTCCCGTTGCGCAGTTTATGTAAATACAGGGCTATAGGCGGCACATTGCATTTTGGGAAACTACCACGCTGCTTTCCAACTCATGTACAAGCCTCGTTAGCACAGTGGAGCGTTGCAGCGCAAAAATGAGGTCACGAAGAGCGCCGGTGGGTGTTTCCTGATTCTGACAGCCATTTACATAAACTGCGCAACGGGAGCGAACGCGAGAATTTTGTCAGGCTTTGTGTGATTTCGCGTGACACAGCTCTGTTACGAACACAGACAGTATGTTTTTATAACAAGTGAACACTGTTCTTCAAATAGAAACAAAGATGGAGTAGAATGGTTGAATATTTGTGTTGTATTCGTGTGAAATCAAGCGAGCGACGCTCGCTTGATTTCACACGAATACAACACAAATATCGACGAGCGTCGAGCAAATTTTGGCAGCACGCTTTCCTACCTGCTATATATTTATGTGTCAGTGTGCAGCGGCAGCCAGCATTTGTTACAGTCTACAGATCAGCATTTGGACGGCATTTGCAGGAAATTGTCGGCAATATAATAGGTGAAAGAGAGTATAGAAACATTAAGACTTTGGTAGTAAATAGATTTCGTATATATTTAGCATTATATTTTATTGAAACGCTCCAAGTGCCTGTGGTTGTGATGGTACACATAGTGACATACACTGATACAGTATTTCAGACTATACAGTGTTACCGGTACACACGCGCACACATACATACATGCACACACACAAGCGCACGCGTGCACACACACATGCACACGCGCGCACGCACGATAACAAAATGTCTTGCATCTACCTTTTACTTTCAGGGGAATTCCAATAGTCTATGCATCATTGCATAGGAAGGAGAGGTTTCAGGCCATCGGGGAACATTTGACCAAAGGAAACTATGACATTGTTGTTTTAGAAGAGGTAACACGTTTATATTTCTTGGAAAGCGGTCACAATTCTGCGGAATTCCTCTCAATGACTTTTAAATTCTATTATAAGATCGTGTTAAACTAGAAACGGGCAGTTGTCGCCAACTACATGTATCCCCCGTGATCTAGTATGAATGGAATATCTCTGTAAGGACGTAGAAGGCAGGTAAAGTTAAATAAGTCACAAAGACAAAGGTTTGTTAGACAACTGGTCTGCCTCAGATGTGCAAGTATATGGAATCTGGTTACCCTAGGAGGAATATTTTCACTGTGAACAGTACCCCCCCCCCTACCCCCCTCTTCGTTACCGATGAGTTTTTGTCGTTAATAATTGTCCGTAAGGACCTAGAGATGGCAGCAGGTACCGATCGCAAATTCCGCAATGGCGACCTGGCGAAGGCAAGGGTGAAATGTTGTTGTCGTTGAAATGTTGTTTTATTAACGTTGTGACGGAAATATAGGCTAGTGACATAG